CCGTCTATGTTGCTTAGGCTTCGGGATTTTCCATAGCCTTGATGAAGACACGTGAGCAATAATTTTAAAAAAATAATAATAAAAACGGGACAGGTTAGAGCCCAGCAACCTCTTTCCCAAGGTTTGGAAAGCAAAGAGCACCAGGGTGAGCATCGCCCAGCCCCACACCCCAATTCAACCCCCATAAAAAAATTCAAGAAGGGGTTTTTTTTGAGGGCAACCGAGGTTCTGCAGATCCTCCAGCCCTCCCCTCCTTTCCCCTCGGCTCCCCGGGCCGGCGAGCAGCGGCTTTTTTTTCAAATCCAAGAATTGGAAGTGGTCGATGCTGGGAGACCAAATGGGTCCTGGGGGGTGCTGGGTGTTTGTTTCTCAAATTGTTCGGAATGAGGAATGAATCTGGGGATTTTGGGGGGGCTGAAGCAAACAGGGAAAAAGCAGCAGAACTCAAACAAAGATGGGATTTGGAAGGAGTTATTCCCCTGGCTCTGGTTTTTCAGCTGGCTGGAGCAGCAAGCTGCTGCTGACACCTTTCTGTCTGGAGAGGAGCAGGTAGAGGTGGCTCATTATTTTCCACAAGAAATTGCATTAAAGAGCAAATCTTTCTCTTGCTTTAAGCACGGGGACCCTTCACACTTCCCTGAAGAGCCAGAAATTCCTCCAGCTTTTATGGAAAAAGCAACAGCCAGCACAAATGCTCTGGCAGGTCAAAAGCCCCTTTTCTTTCTGGAAAGAAACTAAAGTATTTGTGCTGAAAATTAGATTTTTAGGTCCAAACAGCAGCTCTGTTCAAAGCTGAGCCCCAAGAGCTGCTCTCTGGATTGCTGCAGGGGCAGCTCTGCTGCTAAAATATGGAAAATTAAGGATGTTCCTGGCTGTGATGAGCCCTGCGCCATGCTCGCTGCATCTTCCCCGAGGGCGCCCGGGCGAGCAAACCCAGCCTCACCCTTGCCTCCCAGCAAAGCCCCAGCGAGTGCCGGGGGAAGCAAGCGCGCACGAGCGAGCGGGTGTGCGTACGCAGCGGGGGAGCGGAGGGAGGCGGCTCCCTGACAGCAGAAAAACAAGGTGATGGATGGTCCCTTCGGCAGCGCCAAGCTCCAAAACCATCCCTGCGTCCCCTCCCGGGCAGCTCATGGCACATCTTTGGGTTCTGCAACGGCACCGACGGCGGGTGCTGGCCCAGCTGGGCTGTTCTGGGCTTGGAGCAGGGATTAACGCTCGCACCGGAGCCATCACAGCATCACCCCCATGCACCCACCCCACACCCCGAGGAGGATGCTGAGGCATGAGCATCGTCTGGAAAAGGCTCCAGAGCACTACCTCTTTAAATCTGTTTTTTTTATCCCCTTTTTTATACTTTTTTTCCAACCACAGCAGTTGTTTGGGAGGCTCAGGAGTTTTCAACCTCTTCCCATAACTCGCCCCCCGAGGAGACGCGGCTTCTCCAGCTTGGAAGCAGAGCAAGGTCCAGGTTCACCTCCCTGAACCTGTTGCTGAGTTCAGCAAAGCTTTTCCAGTTCCCGCAGTGGAAGCCAGCGCAGAATCAGGCCCCGAAGAGAAGAGCAATTTCCTTATTTACTTTTTGGCACGAATCCACGCAGCGAGCGAGGGAGGAGGGAAGCGAGCGCAGCCCTGAGCTGGGCGGGTGCCCCATCCCCAGCTGGGGATGTTTCCCTATCTACAGCAGCTGATGCAAAGACCCCCCTGCTCCCCAAAAAACCTCCCTGCTCCCCCCAAAAAACCTCAACCACTGCAGCAGGCTCATTCTTCAGCAAACCTTGCTCTTTTCCCAGGAGCACTGAGTCTGTTTGAAGAGCTCCTGCATTTCCCTGCCCGCTGAGCCATGCACGTGGGAAGCAATCCGTGCCGACATGCACCCCCGGTCCCTGAAAGCTTGGCGTTCCCAATGGATCCAGCACCCAAACAACATCCATGTGGCAGATGTGTTCTGGAGTTGGGGCTCGCTGGAAGCCGCCTCGGTGATCCAAGGACCGGCTGATGCTGTTGAGCACTTTATAGGGATGCTCTTTGCCCTCTTGCTTGAATTATTGACTAGAAAAGGATGGAAACAGGCGTAGGACCAGGGCCAAAAATCACACTGCCAGTTTTGATTAAGTCTCAAGCATCACTGGTTGGGGCAGCACTTTATAAAGATGCTTAATTATCCCAGGACCCCTCTGTACCAGGACTCTGAGGGCAAACCTGCCCTGAGCCCAACACTATTTTCTCCATCAATTAATTCCCAATGCACATAAAGCCCCACTCATGGGAGCACCTGGGACAGAGCTGGGGACTCCAGCCCTTGAGGCCATCATGGTTTTCCAGGTGCCACCATGGAGTCAAGCTGCAAAGCGCCGGAGGGTTGTGCTCTGCTAATTGCCACCGTTGGTTAACGGAGCCAGTATCCCAGCATCTCGCAGAGGTGCTAACTGGGATCACTTTAGAAATGGGTTTGGTGCCAACGAGCTCTAGGGAAGCATCTTATAAACAGAGCAGTGGGGCAGGGGGTAAAACCAGGGGGATTTTCCCCGGGACTCAGCAATGCAAATGCTCACAGCTCGCGGGGAAAAAAAAAAAATCAAGCACAGCTTTGAGCCAGCAGCAGATGGGGATGGGGTATCGCAAGCAGGCGGCATCGCCCAGGAACGCCTGTGCTTGTTGATACAGCGCCCTGCTGCCCGGCTGTGTGTTGCGTGCGCTCACACGTGGGTCCTCGTGCAAACACGGGCTTGTCCTTGCTCCCTCCCCAGCCAAGCATCGCCACTGGATGCTCCCATGAGCATCCCCATGCTCGATCCCACACCGGTCATGGCTCTGCACTAAGATCAAGCAACAGAATAAAAATCAGCTGTGGGATGCTCTGGGTTCTGGCAACCGAGACAAAAATTGCCACTTTGCCGTGCCATTGTGCCATCAAAGGGAGGTGCTGGAAGAGCTGACCTTCCAGGGGGGTGAATCCTCTCCCCTCCATTTAACCCCGCTG